AAGTCGAATTAAAACACATATATATATAATTATATATATATACAATAATAAAATACATCGAATTTCATATTTTATGAAAACTATTTCAATTCGAATTTAGAGAACATAAAAAAAACAAATTTAATTAAAAAAATTCCCGAAAAAAAAATTTGTAAAGTAAACTAAAATTCAAAGGTCTTAAATAAATTATTCTATAGTTTTGAATTTAGTACCAAAAAAAAATTCTTAAATTAATTTTTATATTGGTACAAAAACCTGTTCGGTCTGCCTAAAAACTTCTGCTAATACTGATAACAAAACAAACAATAAAAGAGTGACTAAAAATGTCCGGCAAAAAATATTACTGCATTCAATTTGATCTGACTGTAAGTGACTAACTTTATTAATACTAAAATTTGTCAAATTAAAATTTTGAGGGAAGGGACAGAAAATCTGACAGTAATGGACTTTTACTACTAGTTCAAAAATTTATTGCCATTTTGTTTGAATGAAACTGACATTTACTACTATTGTAGTATTACTAAAATTTATCGACTTCAAATTTTCAGGAAAAATTACTAGACAGTCTGACTATACCCGTCTCTCTTATTACTGGAAGAAAAATTATTAGTCTGACAGAAAATGACACTTACTATACTAGTACAAAAATATCGCGACTGAAATAAAGAAAATATATGGGAAACCAATAGCACAAGATTGAAGCACATTATTTTTATTATTTATAAAAATAATTAAATCTTTGCATACAATTTTATTAAAAAAAAACAACAAAAATTTTAATTTAGAAAATTTTTAAATTCTATTATTTTTAAAATTGATAATTTTATTTAAAAAAAGGCAGTAAAAAGTTAGCCGCGCGCTTTAACGCGTGAATTGTTGCTTTGAAAAAGATTAATAGCAAGTACAGGGCTCGGATCGTCTTTGAGACTCAAAAAAAGTCGCTTTAGTCGCATAAATTTACAACAAAAGTCACGAAAAGTCGCATAAAATTTACGAAAAAGTCGAAAAAAAGTCGCATGAAATCTTAGAATAAAACGACAAAAAGAAACCACAAAATTGTAAAAAAAATCACATTTCTCGACAACAGATACATTAATATCAAACAATCCGGAATGAAACTTAAAAAAATGTAATAAAAATATAAAATTCATAGCAAAATTTTAATTAAGTATTTTCAACATTTTTTTAAAAAACTCTCTTTAAAATGTCAATTATTTTTATAAATGAAATTCTTCTCCGAAATTCAATTATTTAAAATAAATTTTAATAAAATTCTTCTCTGAAATTCAATTATTTTCAAAAGTAATAAAATTCTTCGCAGAAATTCAATTATTTTTAAAAATAACAAATTTTTTTACAGAAATTCAATTCTTTTTAAACATTTTAATAAACTTTTTCCCAATAATTCAATTATTTTCATAAATAAAATTCTTAGAAGTTCAATTATTTTAAAAAATTTTCATAAAATTCAATTATTTTCAAAAGTAATAAAATTCTTCTTCGAAATTAAAATATTTTCAAAATTTTTTATAAAATTCTTGCAGCAAAATTTCAATTATCTTTAGAAATAATTTAATTCTTCTCCAAAATTCAATTATTTTCAAAAATAACAAAAGGTTTTATAGAAATTCAATTCTTTTTAAACATTTTAATAAACTTTTTCCCAATAATTTAATTATTTTCATGAATAAAATTCTTAGGAATTCAATTATTTTCAAAAATTTTTATAAGATTCAATTATTTTCAAAAGTAATAAAATTCTTCTCTAAAATTCAAATATTTTCAAAAATAACAAAAGTTCTTACAGAAATTCAATTCTTTTTAAACATTTTAATGAACTTTTTCCCAATAATTTAATTATTTTCTTGAATAAAATTCTTAGGAATTCAATTATTTTCAAAAATTTTAATAATATTCAATTATTTTCAAAAGTAATAAAATTCTTCTCCAAAATTCAATTATTTTCAAAAATAACAAAAGTTCTTACAGAAATTCAATTCTTTTTAAACATTTTAATAAACTTTTTCCCAATAATTCACTTATTTTCATAAATAAAATTCTTAGGAATTCAATTATTTTCAAAATTTTTTATAAAATTCTTGCGACAAAATTTCAATTATCTTTAGAAATAATTTAATTCTTCTCCAAAATTCAATTATTTTCAAAATTTTCTTTAAATTTCTCGTCAAAATTATCATTATCTTCATTAATAATAAAATTCATCCTGGAAATTTAATTATTTTTAAAAGTTTTGCTAAATTCTTTGCAAAATTGAATTATCTTCAAAAGTAAGAAAATTCTTGACAGAAATTAAATTATTTAAAAAATTTTTTAAAATTTTTTCTCCAAATTTCAATTATGTTTATAAATATCAAAATTCTTCTGCTATAATTCAATTACTTTTAAACATTTTTAAAAAAATTTGTTCAAAATTTCAATTATCTTTGAGAGTAATAAAATTTTTCTCTTAAATTCAATTATTTGCAAAAATTTTAATAAAATTCTTGTCAAAATTTAAATTATTTTTATAAATAATAAGATTCATCCTAGAAATTCAATTTTTAAAAAAAATTTTTTTTTTCTCGTCAAAATTTTAATTATCTTTATAAATAATAAAATTCATCCTGGAAATTTAATTATTTTTAAAAGTTCTGATAAAATTCTTTGCAAAATTCAAAATATCTTCAAAAGTGAAAAAATTCTTGGCTGAAATTAAATTATTTTCAAAATTTTTTTTTTTAAATTCTCCTCAAAATTTCAATTATCTTAGTAAATATCAAAATTCTTCGGCAAAATTCAATTACTTAGTAATGTTTTATAAATTTCTTCCCAATAATTAAATTACTTTCATAAAAAAAAGATTAAAAAATTTTTTTTATAGTCTTATAATATAAAATAATGATTTTAACACTCAATCCTCTTTAATTATTATAAAACATGAAGACATCGATTGCTCCGTGTCGAAGACTCGGAGTGATCGATTTCTTCATGTTTTATAAAAATTTTTTAATAAGTTGTTTAATTTCAAAAAGATTTGAATTTGAATCTTTTGAAAAATTTTCATTCCTATGGAAAAATAATAATTAAATATATTTATTTAAAAAAGAAGTTATTGATGTTTTCGAAAAATTTGAAAGAAATTTGTAAATAAATGTAAGAGAACATTTTTTTGACTCAAACTTTTTCCTTTTATATTTCGAAAAAAAATTTTAAATTTCAGTCGCATTTTACTAAAAAAAAAAATTTCGAAAAAGTCGATTAGTCGCATTTTTTCACAAAAAAGTCGAAAAAAGTTACATTTCCTTAGAAATGAAAATTAATTTAATTTTTAGAAAATGTAAGTCGCACAATCCGAGCCCTGCAAGTAAATTATCTGAAAAAAAAACAAAAACACGTGAATTTTAATGAGACCGAAAAAATTCTAGAACAAGTGAATAAATACAACATTCGAGATAATACGAACAGAGACAATATAATATTGTACGTATCACGTGAGAGAGTCTTTTGGCATGTGCTCAAAAATTGTTTCAAGAATCGCGGGTGGGAAACGAGAAAGGGAAATAGAGAGAGAGAGAGAGAGAGAGAGAGAGAGAGAGAGAGAAAGAGAAAGAGAGAGATAGAGAGAGGCGAACTTTCCGTATGTGATATGGGCTTGGCCGAAATAAAGTATAATAGAAAAGAGGTGTATATAAGATAGCGGACGCGCGTCGTAAAATTATGTCGCTCGATAACTCTAGGAATAATTGTAAACAAGAGCGTAAACCGAGCGTGATACTGTAATTAATGCTAATGGCAACCAAATGTATATGCGCGCGTGCGCTCGCTTTTATGCGCATGAATCATATGTATTCCGTGTAAACTCCAACTTTCCATCTGCTAAATTTATAACCCCGAGTCTAGTTACGCTGACCTTTTGAAAATAACCATACATCTCTTGAAAACATTCTCAGAGCAAGAGAGAGAGAGAGAGATATTTGTCAAAAATCCGATTAGCATTATTCGCCAGGAGCGAATATTTGTCATTTATAAGAATTGTGGGAAAAACCAAAAAATTCGATTATCTTGTTTACAGAACAAAGAGCATTGTTTTTCCAAATAAATTTTTTTTTTTTTTGTTCTTGTTTTGTTTTTGGTGAAAATAAGTTTTTGTTGGATAACGTTTCTGTATCAACGTGCCAATGACAATTGTCGATGAGTGCCATTCTTTTACGATCAAGTACGCTTGGTTATCCACAGTCATCGTATATTTTCCAAGCAAGCCTTTATTGCTTTATCGATTCTTTCGTTCTTTTTATTCTAACTGTATCCATTAAAACCCCAATGTGTGTCGATACGATTCAATAAAAAGAATGTCGATCGATTTGATCACCGCACGATTCACGATTGTGTATATATAGGTAGAGCGTCCACTTGAATTCAACATCAGAAAAGTTAAAAAGCAATTTATGCTCTCGCACATAGTTCTTTATATTTGTTTTTGAAAAAAAATAGTTTCATCATATTTATTGATATTACAGAGTCAATAGACGCACTTTTAAAATTTTCAAGAGTTTTATCAGTTTTAAAATTCTAAAATTTTTATTTTCTTTCGCCTTTCCATTTGGGAATTATTTTGAGTCTGAAAAAATTATAACCGGTTCTTTGATCGGGACTCTCGTAAAGCCCCAAATATTGGTTTCGACAGTTCGAAAAAACACTGTCACCAAAAAAAAAAAAAATGATAGAATATAGAAAAACAAAAATAAGGAAAAAGAGAGAGAAAAAAGAGAAAAGAAGAAAAGAGGGAAAGAAAAACAGAGAGAGAGGGAGAGAAAAGAGGAAAAAACGAATACAAAAGAAAGAATGAAAAAAGAAGAAAAGAAAAAATAATACTTTGTAGAAATCAATTTTTCCAAAGACAGAAAAAAAGGCCAGTGAAATGAACTTGTCAACGGTCGGTGCGCCTCTTCTTTTTCTTTCTTTTTTTTGAATCCAAGGATAAAATCGAGATTAAAACTAACCTGCTACTGTGAGGGTTGCATTTCTGCTCGCGACGCTGCCAACTTGATTCTTGGCGACGCACCAGTAAACACCACCGTCCTGCTCCTTTTTCCCGTGCATCACCCTCAGGAAGAAGAGCGATCCCGTCGGAAGCAGAACTCTGTGCGATTTGGCATCACCCGGTGATGTTGGAACGGGTTCGCCATCCTTGTACCACTCTATCACAGGCTCCGGTTTACCCTCGGCTTTACAGTTGAGAGTTACCGGCTCGTTCTTGGCCACTATTATATCCGACGGATGCTCCGTTATCCTCGGCGATCTTTGTTGTGCTGAAACAAAAATCAATTCGCGATTAGAACATTTCGACAGTTCCACTTTTTTTACAATTATTACATTTTTCACTTTTCTTCCGCAATTTACTTTCTAAGTTTCTATTTTAGTATTTTCTAATCCAGCGAACTTTTTTTAAACTCAATAATGTCAATTTTTGATATTGAAAAAATTGTAACATCTGTATATTTGCTAAAGAAATAAATAAACGAATTCTAGCTAGTTTAATAATAAAAATAATAGTGTAAAACGAATAATAAATTTATAAAGTTAATAAATATTTAATGTATAGGTTATATGTAAACAATGGAAATGATGATGGACAGGGACATTTATTATTAATTTTTTTTTCCAATTATTCAAATATTTATTTATTATATCTGTGGTTGTATGTTTAGAGCGAAGCGGCGAGATCGCTCGGCCAATTATGAAACATTTATTGGTCTCTCTATGAACTGCAAAGGGAATAGACTTAATACAAGTCCTGTACGTCACGAGTTTCACGCTGCTTGCAAAACGATTGGAAATTCGTGCTTCTCGTGCTCAATCTCGTCGAACCCTGAGCGTCGAGATGCCCAGAAGATACAGTAATAATTTCCTGTCATCAGGCTACGCGCTTTCAATCTAACGGGTACTTCCCAAGACAGAAATTACATTATTGTGCCGACATTCACCGCGATGCCAAGGTGCCGCGCCTGTATTATTGCCAGTATTGACCCAGTATTCAACCGGTACTGTGTGTACTCTACCGATTTTTAACGAATTTTTTTTAACTAATATTGAACCAATTTTTAACGAATGGTTCAATCAATTTTAAACAGATGTTGAACGAATTTCGAACCTGACTTTTCCAGGTTTTCCAAATTAAAAAACGAAATTTTTTCAGGTTTTTAATACGAAAATTATTCGAAAATATCAATAAATTCATTTTTAAATAAATATTAATTATTAAATCATTATTATTTTTTTATATAGCAATTAAAATTTTCAAAAATTTCAAATTCAATAACTGATAAGAAATATTATTATAAAACATGAAGATATCGATCACTCCGAGTCTTCGACTCGAAGTGATCGCTTTCTTCATGTTTTATAATAATTAAAACTTGCTACTTTGTTACTGTAACTTCTTCAACAATTATTTTCATCATATTCATTTCTAGAATTTTCAACTCAAATTCTTTCTTTCTTTGAGAATTTTCAAATTCTTTTTTTTACAATTTAATTTTATGAAATTTCGATTATTCTGACATTCCTCAATTAAATGTATTAGAAATTAAAAACCTTTGAATAATTTTTAAAAAATTCCATTAAATTTTTTGAAAAAACTTAATTCTACACAATTCTTAAATAAAAGTATATAAAGTTCAAATTATCAAAGATTTTAATTTGAAAATTGAATTATTTCTTAAAATCTACGCTATAATGCTTTCAATATTCACTAAAATTTTAACTGAAATTCATTTTTAAATCAATATTTATTAGAAAATTCTACGAGAATTCAATTATTTAACTGTAAAAATAAATATTTTATTAAATAATTAAATATTTCTTAAAATTGAATTTTCATACAGAATTTTATCAACAAAATTTTTAAATAATTTAATTCTCTTGACTTAATAAAATTTTTAAGAATAATTTTTATTATTCGAGAAATTTGATGAAAATTGTATTAAAAATAATTGAAATTCTGCCAAGAATTTTATTATAATTTTTAAAAATAATTGAATTTCGGAGAGGAATTTTACTTTTTTTAAAGATAATTGAAATATAAACGAGAATTTTTGTAAATTTTTTAACATAATTAGATTCATGCGAAGAATTAGAATACTTTTAAAAATAATTGAATTCCTGAGATAAATTTTATTAAAATTTCTTTTTAAATAATTGAATTCTTTTGTAAAATTTTGTTTAACTAGTAGACATTGAAAATAATTGAATTTTGACTAATTTTTGAAATTTATTAAATTTCTTCGAAGAATTTTATGAAAATTATTTTGAACAAAATTTTATTGTTACAAAGAATTTCATTATCTATTAAAATAATTCAATTTTTTGAAGAAATTTAACTAAAAATGTATTAAAAATAATAGTTAAATTGTAATAAATAAATGGTAGCAAAAGTTTTTAAAATAATTGAATGTCTTTACTGAATTTTAATAAAATTTTTAAGAATAATTACATTTCTCAGGAAATTTGTTGAAAATTGTATTAAAAATAATTGAAATTCTGCCAAGAATTTAATTATAATTTTTGAAAATAATTGAATTTCGGAGAGGAATTTTATTTTTTATAAAGAAAATTGAAATTTTCAAGAGAATTTTTAAATTACATCGAAAAATTTCATTAAAAAATTGAAAATAATTGAAATCTGACAAAGAATTTTAGTTAAACTTTTTTTTTGATAATTGAATTCTTATGAAAAATTTAATTTTTAATAAGAATTAAATTCTTGGGAAGAATTTTATTAAAATTTCTTAAATAATTGAATTGCTTCAAAGAATTTTATTTTTTACGAAAATAATTGAACTGTTTCGAAGATTTTTACAAACATTTTTGACAATAATTATTTTCCTAGGAAGAATGTTATATTTCAAAAAAAAAATTGTATTCTGTGATCAATTTTGTTATAATTTTTAAAATTTATAAAGCATTTTATCAAAATTAAAAAAAAATTTAATTCTCGGGAATTTTATTCATTTTTTTTTAATTATTGAATTTCTATAAAAAATGTATTATTTGTGAAAATAATTGAATTCTTAAGAAGAATTGTATTAAAAATAATTGAATTGTATAGGAAAATTTATTAAAATTTTGTTTAAATAATTGAATTGTTTAAAAAAATTGTATTAAAATAGTAGATATTAAAAATCATTGAATTGAGGAAAATTTTTAAAAATAATTAAAATTCTGCTAAGAATTTTGTTATAATTTCTAAAAATAATTGAATTTCGGAGAGGAATTTTATTTTTTATAAAGATAATTGAAATTTTGACGAGAATTTTTGTAAATTTTTGAACATAATTAGATTTCTGAGAAGAATTAGAATACTTTTAAAAATAATTGAATTTTTAAGACGAATTTTATTAAAATTTCTTTTTAAATAATTGAATTCTTTTGTGAAATTTTATTTAAATAGTCGACATTTAAAAAATAATTGAATTTTGACAAATTTTTGAAATATATTAAATTTCTTCGAAGAATTTTATAAAAATTATTTTGAAAAAAATTTTATTGTTACAAAGAATTTCATTATTAATGGAAACAATTTAATTTTTTAAAGAAATTTAATTAAAAATGTATTGAAAATAATACTTAAATTGTAATAATAAATTGTAGCAAAAGTTTTTAAAATAATTGAATTTCGAAGAGGAATTTTATTTTTTATAAAGAAAATTGAAATTTTGAAGAGAATTTTTGTAAATTTTTAAACATAATTAGATTTTTGCGAAGAATTAGAATACTTTTAAAAATAATTGAATTCCTGAGACGAATTTTATTAAAATTTCTTTTTGAATAATTGAATTCTTTTGTGAAATTTTATTTAAATAGTAGACATTGAAAATAATTGAATTTTGACAAATTTTTGAAATTTATTAAATTTCTTCGAAGAATTTTATGAAAATTATTTTGAAAAAAATTTTATTGTTACAAAGAATTTCATTAACTATTAAAATAATTCAATTTTTTGAAGAAATTTAATTAAAAATGTATTGAAAATAATACTTAAATTGTAATAAATAAATTGTAGCAAAAGTTTTTAAAATAATTGAATTTCTTTGTGAATTTTAATAAAAAATTTTAAGAATAATTTCATTTTTCGAGGAATTCCATTAAAATTGTATTAAAAATGAAAAATAATTGAAAGTCTGTGATGAGTTGTATTATGTATTTATGATAATAATTGAATCCCTGTTAGAAATGTTATTATTTACAAGAATCATTGAATAATAATTTTAAATTAAAATTTTTTCTAAAAATCTAAAAATCTTAAAAAACGCGAAATTCCAGAAATTTTTTTAAATTCCATTCTATTTCCAGGTTTTCCATACTCTTTTCTAAATTCCATACCTTTATCAGGTTTTCCAGGATTTCTAGGCTCTGTGTCAACCATGTCATTTATTGAAAAAAAAATTAATCAAGTACGAAATCAATATTACACTTTCAGAAATATTGAAATAGTACTGCACCAGTATTCAACAAGTGAGAAATTTTCAATAGTAATGTCAAGCCAATTTTGAGCCAGTATTGAACCAGTATTACACGCCCAGCGGTATTTTATTCATGGAAAATCCGTATTGAGACAGTATTGAACCAGTATCAACTACATTTAACCAATTTTTTCCATTTGAATCTGTTTCCATAATAAAACAATTTTATTAAGTCCCCTAGTTTACATAATAAAACAATAAGAACGAAACGAAGGGAATTCTACACACAATCCAATTTCACTTGATTCTGCCTTAAGCAATATTTTTATTTCTAAACATTACTTTGAATAAAATTTACCTCTCTTCTCCTCCCCAGTATTTTTATTTTCTTACCCAGAGAAAAGGAATATATGTAAGTTTGGTTAGTGCCTGCCCAATTCAAAATATCTAAGTTCGATCCCCCTCATCTTTTAATTAGATAATTTTCCTAATTTTCTCCTTTCTTCAATTTTTCTAAGAGACTTTTAAATTCTGTAAAATTAAAATTCCTCCAATAATTTTTAAACTGAAAGAAAAGGAGAGAAAGGAACGAAAAACGATTTTTTGATAATTTTAATAAATTAGATAAAAAATGGAGAAATGAGATGAGATGAATAAATTATAAATAAATAATAATATTTCCTTGGGGATATTTTTGTATTCCGAACATGAAAGTAAATCGTGATTGAGGTTCAAGTGGAATGGTGAAAAGAAAAAAAAGAAAAAAAAAAGGAAAATGTATATGATATTACTATCCCCACACACGTGTGGAGGCCAAAATGCCTCGTAATCGTATTTTATTCAAAGGT